AAAAAAAAAAAAAAGGGGTGGGGGGGGGTGCACGTGAAAAAGGAGGGGAAGAAGAACGAGAGGAAGGAAGCCTCATTCTCATCTATCTCTCCTTCTCCTCTATTATTCATCAACCTCTTCTCATCCCTCGTTCAGCATGCTGATGGAGGATAAAATAGGTCACAGAGGGATAGGCTGGTGCTCACAGTGACTGATGTCTTCCCTGACTTATCGTGCACTCATCCCCCCCTCCTCTTCCTTCCCTGTTTCCCTCCCTCCTCTCCCTTTTACTTCCCCACTGTTGCCACACCGTCGTGTCATCTCTTCTTTCTACCTTCACTTTCTTTCTATCCTCTCTGCCTCCCCCTGCTCTCCATCATCTCCTTTCTTTCCACAATCCCTAAATTCTGTCGTTCCTCAGCTCAGCTCACCATCTGCTCTCTTCTCTCTCTTTTCACAGGCGCCGTCTCACTCGCTGTAGACGAGTAAAACTCAGACAAAGGAACTGTGTTGCAGCTACGTATCTGCAGGGGGCACACAATCGTCACAATCATATCTACAGATCTTGCTATTGGAGGAAAAGAAGAACCGAGTAAGAAGAGGTGTTGGAGAAGCGGTTAGTTTAGTATAAAGTGAAAAAAGAAGAAGGGAAGAGTGAATTATGTTTTTAAACAGTTTTACTTTTCTGTTCTTTCTGCTCAAACCTCAAATAGAAGTCTGTAGTCAGGTTGGTCTTTGGAAAAGTGAAGTAAAAACACTTGGTTTCGGTTTGTTTGGTTATTTGTACACAGAATTATGCAAAACTTACTCAACAATTTCCCAGGGAATCATTCGTCAACAAGGATGTGTTTGTATTTATCATTTAGTCTGGATCTGAATACAAATCTGGATGTAATGAATTTAAATGATGAGGGGACTGTCGGGCCTTGGTGGAGGCATCCGCTACCCGAGTGTCATTCTAGTTTACTTTCTATTGAAACAAACATTTTATTTGCCGCGTGTCTCAGGAGCAGTCGTCAGTCTGAGCGGTCAGAAGACTTTTATCCACCTGTGACTGACTGCGTTGACCAACATGTCCACTAGATGGGGACGATCGACGTTTAGAATATACAAATGCATTTTTTCCAAAGACGTTTGAGAATTTATCAGCATTGAAATCTGATCGTTACAGGAAAGCATCTGTTGTACCGTGTTAAACCTTTTGCATATTCAAAAAGTATTTAAACTAGCTAGCTGTGGATTAAACCAACTAGCTGTGGATTAAACCAACTAACTGTGGATTAAACCAACTAACTGTGGACTCTCTATGAACTTGAAACTAACTCCAAAACGTGATAAAAATAAATAAGGTAAAAAATTAAATAAGGGCACAAAATTTGGTGAAATTAATATATTATAAAAGAAAACTAACCATAAGAAATAAAAATTACAAAAGTGATTTCCTATCTGTTAACAAACAGGGTAAACATCACATTCTGCTGTAAGCTTTAGCACTGTGGTTGCAAAAGTCAGCAGCAGCAATAAAAGTGGTAAATTAGTTTACTTATTTTT